TATTTTTTTTCTGCGGTTTTGATAGTGAAAAGACAATAAGCATAAGTGCTATGCATATTAAGATAAAAAATTTCTTATAGATATGCAGATAATTAATGAATAAACTGAAGCGTTCAATATTTAAAGTTGGCGTATTTTAAAGGAGATTTTCTATCGGTATTTAAATTTTCATAAATATTTTCTACTTACATTTAATGTTTTACTTCTGAACTGCAAACGACTGTTGTTATGACAGAGTGACAAATTTTTTTTTTTTGCCGATCTATTATATAGCTTTATCTGCATACCAAAAATCTTTAATCGTCGTCATTCCGTCTTTTAAAATTTTCTTATTTCGTTTTCACTGACGTTTAATATACTTATCAAATAAAAGCTTTTTAATCGTAATTTCATTTCTCTAATATTTTTTTAGTTGGGGGGATTTGTTAGGATATCCTCAGATATTTTTTTCTTTTTTGGAATTCTAAATTTTATGAAATATTTAGCTAAAAAAAAATTAATTTTTTCATGGTGACAGAGTTTATACCAATCTGCTTATTGACAAATCAATAATTGTTCTGAAAATTACCTAAATTTCGTTTACATCTTCTGAAGCATAGGTTATTTGTTGATTGGTAAAGTGCGTTTCTGAGGACTATGTCTTCAGCAGCCTATAAACTCGCTATCGCTGAAATATTGACAGTTAAAAATCTGCTTATTAGAGCGATACTTATTGGCAAGCTCGCTTTTTTTTTGTTTTGAAGACAAGTTGACTCTAAGCTATCATTTTATGTAAAAAGTGTTAATTTTACTATAAGTGCAGATGATATTCTACTAAAAAGTCGCTACTTCTTCTTTTTCAGGTACTATCAAAGTAATGGTTATGGTTAGCATTGGTTTAATTTATTTGTTTTGACTAGGAAATAGCAATACAATTGCGGAAACTTTACATCATAAAATCATTCGGCTTTTTAAATTATATATATGGCCAAAAGTAGCCATAAATTTGGTTGCTTGAACATTATAGCAACGGTTGTGATCAACCATTTCTGAACACGTATGAAACGTATTTTTTTCGCTTGCTATTTGATAGACAACTTACTAGTCAATGTGTTAGTCAAATGCGCCTAAGCAGAAGAAGACACGAAGTGAAACAGTCAAGCGATATCTAAATGAAAAAAAAGTTAGAAAAGACTTTAAGGCAACAAAAAACAGGTGAAAGTAGTCACTGATAAAATAGGAACAAAGCCTCAAAAGTAGGCTAAAGACAGAGCACTATTATCTATCATTAAATGTCAATGAAGTTTCCTCATTTAATGTGGAACACAATA